CCCCCCTCCCCGCTCGCCTCGGGCCGGCGGGCTCCCCTGGCGGCGCTGAGGGACCGGCCTCCGGCCGCGCTGGCCTCTGCCCCCGCAGGAAGGGAGCGGGGCAGGGGCCCGGACCGCTCCTCCAGGGCAGCTGGAAGAGCTTAGATAAACGACGACCTCTCCGGCGAAGCCCAAACAGCAGCACTACCGCCTTAGCTGAGATCCTCCTCGTGTGTCCAGAGTCCCGGGCACTCGTGTGGGGCTGCTTTAAAAAACAGATCGCGCGCGACACCATAAACCTCGTCCTCGAGGAAGGCTGCTGAAGATTAAAAATGCCTTTCGTCCTTCATTATGCAGTGAATGGATGACATATAGATAGATAGATATATATGTGTGTGCGTGTGTGTGTGAAAGATCTACCCCACCTTCAACTTTACACACACACACACACACACACACACACCCTTCCCTTTATACAAGGTGCAAATCTAACCTGCCTTCAACGCAGGTATATATCTGATGAGCTTTATCTCAGGAAAGCTGGTGATATACATAATAGACTAACCAAAATAGGTATAAGGTGCAAACCCTGCCTTTAACTTACAGATACAATGCTTCCATGTGTGCTTGAATCTATCAACGTCTGTTATTTATAAAGCATCATCTTGCTTTCAGAAATATATATATATACACACACATACACACACTAATATAAAAGCCTAAATCTGCCCGTCTGTCCCTACTGCTTTATCCCTGCTGATTGGCTGACAAACAGCCAATCAGAGTGTGAAGAAGCATTCTGACAGAAGGCAGCCTGTCACCGTGACAGTAGGGACACAGGAGATGGAGCCAGGGGTGAGCCTCCTCCCCCAGTAGGGCCCAGGCCCACTCCTCCCTCACCCCCAATCCCCCACATCAACCCTGAGCCTGCTCCTAGCATCCCTGCACCTCTGCCTGGTAGGCCCAGGCCGATGCCACAGCATCCCAGCTTCTCCGCACCCTTGGGCCCGGTCCTCCTGAACATCAGGCCCAGGCCCGCTCCTCCCTTCCCCCGGCTGCTGAGGCGGGGAGTGGGCCCAGACCCCAAGCAGCAGGTGGGAAGGGGGAGCAGGCCTGGATGGGGGCAGGGGGAGCAGCCTGGGCCCCCCCAGGTCATTCTTGACAGGCAATTGGCTAATATATATCTATATATAATATATTTCTAAAAGCAAGATGATACTTTATAAATAACACATTGATAGATTTAAGCACACACTGAGGCATTGTATCTATAAATTGAAGGCAGGGTATATTTGCACCTTATAGACTTAACCAAAGTAGGTATAATACATTATCACAAGCTTTCCTGAGATGAAGCTCAGTAGATACTGTGAAAGGATGTGTTGAAAGCCTGGCATATAAGGAGAGAAAAATTAGAATACAAAAGACAAAGGAGGGGAAGAAAAGGGAAGTGGGGCTGGGAGAGGCAAGCAAACAAGCAATAAACCCATAGGAACAAAGGAGTCACAAAAGCTAATCTAGGTAATGGGATAAGAATCCTTAGTCCATTTCAACCATATTTAACACATCCAGTCTGTGCATGATTTCTTGTTTGACAATTTCCCATTCAAACTAGTATTTAAACAGTTGTTGTCTAAGAACAGGCACGCTCAGGTCAGTGATGGAGTGTCCAGGGAGGTTCGTCTTCTGCCACAGACTTGCCTGCCTTTGCACAGTTGGTGTCAGAGCAGAGTTCATTCATTCTGTCGTGTGGAGATCGCCCAGTCTGTCCAAGGTAGACAGTGGAGGGGCACTGTAAGCAGGTAATAGCTTATATAACATTTCTGGAGTTGCAAGTGAATGAACCTTGAATATTATAATAGTTATAATATATGTATATAAAGGCAACTGCTAAGCTACTTCCCTTATTGTAGAGTTTAGATGTAAATTAGAAGATGTAAATGTACTGCCTGCAATATGAATAAGCTGTTAAGTACAGGTATATAGCACACACACACTACTCAGGTGCCTCAACATTTATTTAAATCTATCAATGTCTGTTATATTTATAATGCATCATCTTGCTTATAATTTTAAATATGCTGGGAGGTGTGGCATAAAAAGCATTAGTGGAATTTGTTTTGCCCACCATTCATATTGATTTTGTGGGAGTTGTGGTCTAGTGCCTTTGAAAAAAAAAACATTGCTTATTTAGGCATAGAAATACAGGCTTATGTCATCTGAGTGGACCAGGAAGATAAAGCATCTAAAAACAGTGAGTATCCCTTGCCACACCCAAATACTGAAAAAAGCAATACATTGCAGTTAGCAAACTATCCAGCAATACCTCTGGGTCCCCCACACTCTGTTTTTGTAAAACCCACTCTTTTGATCAACTTGCTTTAAAAATCTTTTCCATATGCTAGTGTTGGTCTATGATGTTTTAAGCTTCAAAGGCAGACTGCCATTTGGAGTGCTGTCAAAAACATTCAGGAAAGCTAGATAAACATGTGCATTGTAACTTGGACAATTTTCTGGAAAGCAAAAAATAAAGTGTTATGATATTAGCTAAGCAAACCTAGATACATCATTCCAATTTAAATGATCCAGCATAGACATTCCTACTAACATTAATTCCTTTTTCTGTCTGAAACCAGTAGGTATGCTATTTCTTTGTGTAGTCATGACCTCTCACTTTTGGGTATTTGTAAGAGATTTTTCTTTGTTTGTACTTTCTTGGTGGGGGTGCGGAGGTTGGAGAGGGCAGGAAGGGTATGTTTTGTGTGTGTGTCTAGTTCAGAACAACAGAGTTTGAACAAGACCATAGTTGGCTCAGTTTCACCACTAAAAAGGCAAAGCACATCAAGAGGCAGCTATGCAAGCTGTTCCACCCTTCTGCAGAGAACAGTCATCTCCGGTGATGTGCCTCAACCCTATCCTCAAGGGATTAGAAGATAACATAGCCTTCTATGCCAGGGCAGGCCTTGGCCTGTCTGATTAGCCTGGCAACAAAAATCCCAATTAGAGGCAACAGTGCAGGTGACTAATGTGGTCATATGTGCTGTAGGAAATGGACTCAGGCCACTTGCGGATTTCATATTAGATCACATCAAGTGTCAGAACTGATGCGACATCACAGCACAGCCATTTGTGTGAAAGAGATAATAAATCACATCCCACTAACCTTTTTAATAAGGAGTTTGTAAAATAATGTTATTAAAGGACTGAGACATTCACAGGCAGTAGCATAACTAGGGGTGGATGAGACAGGCACCAGTCTCAGGCTCCAATTTAGGAGGGGCATCAGAAACGCTCTTGCATTGCTCTTGCAGCAACAGCAAGGTGCACGGACACTGTATTACTGCTGTAAGAGCAACAGCTAAAGCAGGCAGACAATGCTGCAGTTGTGGCAGCAGAAACAGCAGCAGCTGGGGACTGAACTTTTTGAATCCCTGGCCTAGGTAAGACTCCTGTAGCATACCCCCCTGCAACCCGTATCCCTTTAGCGCAGGGCACAAACCGTGATTGTTAAGCCTCTTACAGCAGAATACTCTCCTGGGAACAAAAGTCCTGAAATTAAAGCTCTGTGGAGTTCCTAATGTTGAACTCAATCTCACTTGTGCCACCTACATTTAACATCTGAAATATTTGATATTTTACCCAGGCTTTTTACCTTCTCTGGGTAAAAGAGATAGTAAGACCTGGCTGTTTATTTTACTATTAATATAATATTTTGCACTTCTGTAGTGCCTTTGATCCAAAGCTCCAAAAGAATTTAATGAACAGTAAGAAATTTATCCCCTGAGATTGGGCTGAAGTTACAGAATCAAAGGCAGGGCCAAGAATAGGATCCAGATCACCTAACTCCCAGAGCTATTTTCACATTTCCTCCAAAACAGTTCCTCCCCTTTATCATTCACCTTCCCAAAAAGGATTCAATCCAAAAGTCTGTGGTGATGACTGTGATTACATTTGTAAGGCACTTAGATAATGGAGTAATGGCCACAAGATAAAATCCAAGGTGAGATGATAAAAAATGTTGATTACATTTTTATATAACAAGCATGCTATTACGCTGTGAACTGTCATCTAATTTTTCTAATATGCTATCCAAATTTCCACAAGAACATTGTTTTTTCATAGGAATATTTTACCAGAGCTGATCTCTCATCTGGCATCTGGTTAGCAGCAGATAAATTGTCTAGTTCCTTTCCATTAAGGCTGGTTTCCTGGGAGAGTATTAAACTAATAACATAAGGGGATGGTGAAAAGAGAGAACAAATGAGCACTCATTTAGCACAAACTCATGATGCTGAGAACAAAATGAACCAAGACATCAAAGGACGTGAGGAGAAGAAACTCTTAACCACCTATACACCAATGCTACCAGCCTGCATCATAAACAATGGATTGATGCTCAAATTGAGCAATTCTAATTTGACCTGTATAGTATTTCTGAAACCTGGTAGGATGATTCACATGACTGGAATGTTAAAATCAATGATTCTAAGCTATTAAGGAAAAAACAAAAATCAAGAAAGGAGGGCACTCCATGTAAAACATGGCATCACTCGGTTCTGAGTCACTGCTGGCTTAAA